TTTGTTTAGATTTGAGGTGGATATGAATGGAAAACGATTTTCTTGGCAGGTATATTTATTTCTTCTTTAGATTAACTTAGGTTGATACAATGGTACCTCTAGATAAGAAAGTTTTTTGACAAATGTGCGTTTTGTTCTGAAGGGAATTGCAAAACTGCCTTTCATTGACGAACATCGCCTTCTAGCTGAGGTTGCAAAAGTAGAGCACACACTGACAGTATGTTACCATCATCAAGCTCTTGAGATTCTTATCATTCTACTTCCATTATTCATTGTTATGTGAAATCTGATTTTTACTTTGATGGTCTGTAGGAGGAAGAAGCACGTAGAAACAGTGCGATGTTTGACATGCTCTTTGTAGCAACATCTCATCCCTTGTCTGAACACATCTTTTCTCTTGACCACCAATGTAAACATTTGACTGACAGAGAGCGGCCAGAGGTTAAGGAGAAACTGAAACCTGAACTAAGGTTTGTTGCAATGTTTGAGCATTAATCATGCAGATAAATTTGATGTTTCAGAACTTGGCTACCTAACTTGTATAGACTTCTGTTACTTTAATAGAATGGATTGAATGCATTACTAAAGAGGAATGATGAGAAAGAAGCAACCATAGTTTGAGTCGGGGCACATATTGAGCACTGAAATAACATATGATTTTCTAACATTAAGACTCATTTTCTCATTGATTGTTAGAAAATAAGAAAATTATGCTTTCATGAGTTATAGTGGCTTCTTCCTGATTTTTCTTATTTAATACACATCCTCCATGTCGTTCTTCTTTGAATCTTAGGGGCTTATTTGCTGTTTTAGTACGATTACAAGCCCTATGAGTTTTTTGCATCTCATGATTGAAACTTAAGCTGAATTACGTCACTTGCTAGAAGTTTCTTGGGACTTCTATGATCCAATTGCACTTCAGCAGGGACCATTGCAATTAGAGAGATGTGTTCGACAATATAAACAATTTGGATTGTGGAAGAGGGGCAAAAATTAAATAAGATGAATAGGAATATGTGGGGCAGGATTTTGAAACCTTGGTCACCTAGTTCCATGCGTTCATTCCACACCTGTTAATCTATTTCATAAACTGTGGTAGCATGTTTCATTCTACTTTCAAATAGTTGAATAATCTCTCAGTATCCCTTTAATGGAAATAGATCTTTCCGTGTTGCAAGTTTGTGGAGCAATAGATTTATTGTTCCTTTCCCAATAATCTGTACCATTATCAAATTGATAACGTCAAACGTTAGGGTTTATTTGCTGAGTGTCGTTATTGATGTTGTTCCTAATTATGGATCCGAGATATGTTTCAACCATCTGCTGATTGATTTAGGGCTTCACGCAGTGATGGGATGAACGGTTATATATCTCCTTGCTTTGGCGATACTCACCCTCCCATATTCAGGTCTCCAGTTGCGGGCATGGAAGATATATTGGCCAATGAAGTCATGTGAGTTCTTGAGCATTGGATGTAAAATTATTTGCCTGATTAATTATGATATTCATGTGGCTTGTCCTGATTAATTGTGTGTCCATGTGGCTTGGATAGTTTGAATATGGAATATAGATGCTTACCCGTCTTAATTTTGTTTTTGGTGCTACTTTCCAGATGTGTCATATATAGGCTTCCGGGATGCGCATAAACACATCACATATCCTCCTCCTGGTGTGATATTCCCTGAAAAGGTAATTATTGACTAATTTGGTTCTGTTTGGCTAGGAAATTTTGTACCCACTCGCTGGTTATTTTTTGTGCTTGTATTGGTGCATGTGAATTTTGTTCAGCAAGCAAGATTACTATTGTCTGCTTGCTGTTCATTTGTTGCATAAAACTGTTTTATTCTTTGCACCATGTTTCATACTTTTTAGTTTCTTGCCCTAGTTCTGCTGACTAAAAATGCTATTGAAAGTAAAATGTAGACACGTGTGCACCTGAGTAAGGTAGTTTCTTGGCCTAGTTACAGTTTTGGTATTGGAAGAATTTGTTAAGCGGATCATTTTTCAACAAATAGAAAATGGTTTACTGTAGTTCTTGATGCTTTAAATTATTGTTTTTATAGACACCTAGATGTTAAAATTTCTTGTTGTCTTGCAGATTGTGCAGCTGAGGGATTTGAAACCTGAACCTGTTCTGTGGCATGAGGATTCTGGGAGAAGACCGTGGGAAAGTGGAAGGTAATTATTTTTATTTCTTGAGGATCTGAAGATAGTTCTATGAAGCCACTTCCCATAATTTTCTTAGAACTGGGAATAAACCCTAGCTGACCTAAAAGGGGAAGAGGGACGAAAACTGCGCTGCTCAGTTTGAGTTCCATGCATCTACAAACTTCTGCAGACTAACCATTTAATGGACATTACTTTTCCTGCACGTTTTGTGTGTGTGTTTTGTAAAACTTTGTTTTTTTCCAAGATTTTCTGATTTTTACTTTCATTTCAGGCATAATGCTCCCGAAAGCATATCTGGGCGGCAGCTTGGGGAGGCATCGCATCGACTCATTGTTAATAGCTTACAGATGAAGGTCGATCACAACAGATTTGGCAATAATATCCATGCTCCA